GCCAAATGGTGGGTTTTGGCGAGCTGCGGGCCTGTCTGTCCCGCTGGCCCGTTTTGACATGTCAACATTTAGTGCCAAAAAAAGTTGTCATTGAATAACTTGTGTAAAATATAAATTAATTAATGACCAAATGAGATTTATAATCATAAATTCATAACTACAACACCTTAAAATCCCCTCCAATATGTGATGTAGATGAACCACACCGAAAAAAAAAAAAATATTATAAACTTGGTCAAATTAAACATATATACACTTTTATATACACATATAAACTTGGTCAAATTTCGTCTAACATTCGTTAGTAAACATTTTTTTTTTTTTCATTCAAGTTATATTATATATCATATGATATCTCTTAAGTTAAATGCAATTTCATTTAATTGATAATTTCCCATAAAATTTATTGATTGAATATATATTAAGTTGAAATACTAGCTCACATGAATTCTTGTATGAAACAGAATAAAAATTAGTCAGATTTATCAATCATACAGTTTTTATTAAAAATATATATGTATGTAATATAATATCATACTTTTGTTTTTGTTTTTAACGTATACAATTCAATTTGAGGGCAAAATTTCATTTTTGGTCTATTATATTGGTCATTTTTCAGAAATGGTCCATTAATTTGGCGGACATCAAACTTGATACAATAAGTTGTAAAATACATCATTTTTGGTCCATAAGCCTACGTGGCATTTTATCGGGCGAATACGTGGACAAGTTTCATGTCCGCCACGTAGGCTCGTTATCCAGCCCGAGTAATTAATGGACCAAAAATGATGAATTTTACAACTTATTGTATCAAGTTTGATGTCCGACAAATTAATGGACCATTTCTGGAAAATGCAAAACATAATAGACCAAAATAAAATTTTACCTCAATTTGAGTGTAGTACACCTATTAGAAATGTATGAATGTTTAATCGTTAGGTCTCCAATTTTTGTACGCTATCTAATACACATTGGCAAATCGACATGACAAGGTCACAACTTCCTGCGACTGACCATTTTCACTTCGTCTGGTCCCAGCTGATATAGGATATTATCTGCACAAAGACGAG